CCCGAGGGCATGCTGGGCCGGCCCAGGCAGGAGGCCGGGCACCCGGGGTGCTGCCCAGGCCGCGGCTGGGCGTTTGGCCGAGCACCCAGTGCTTGGCGGCCGGGCACCCGGGGCCGGCTGGGGCTGCGGCCAAGTGGTGACCGGGCACCCGGGGTCGAGGCGGTCGGGCACCTGGGTGGTCCAAGGGCTTGGCCCATTCGTCATCCTCGCTCTTCTTGTCCTCCTCTTCTCGCCCGTAGGTGCTCGGGTCTTCGTGCTAGCCTCTCCATGATCAACACGTTGATACCTAATCATGCGTAACATCTCCGGCTTGAGGTAGGATCCAACTCACATGTGAATCCAAATGGAAATCGAAGAGGAAAGAGTTAACCTCGGTTTCAATGGCGCGTGCGTGAGCTCTCGTCATATGTCCTCTCCGTGCTTGCGGTGGTGATGGAGAGTCCATGGTGATGAGCGAGGGATGCTCCGCATCATCTGCCCTTGCTTGCGAAAGATGGAAATCCCGGCAAAGACGATGAAGTGACTTCTGGATACCTTCATGGCCCGCATCGTGGGCTGCAGCCAATACTTCCCCGAGCAGCAGCAACGCGGGCGGCACATAAGCCTGTTGCTGGAAGGTAACAATGCCATCAACGAGAGCCCAAGGCTAGCCTAATTCACCATATTCGAGTTGTTCCCGAAAAGTGACAAGTGCGGGGTCCGTGTATGCAGCCTGACGGAGAGCTTCAAACAGATCAAAGGAAGTCCCGGATATGGTGAGTGCATGGCCGGCAGGAGCATCACGACGCTAAAGAGCGTCAGCGACGAAGTGACAATGATGCTGTGGAATGGTAGCGAGGCGTTGGTCCAGCAAAAACTTCAAGTTGTAGTGGTCAATTTCGACGATGAACGCGCGTCCCCAAAGATAGGGCCGCCAGTGGCGCACGGCGTCACCAGACCAATGAGCTCCCGCTCATAAGTGGCGAGAGAAGCATGGCGCGGAGTGATGGTTTTGCTGAAATAGGCAATGGGGTCGCCACCTTGATGCAGGACTGCCCCGAAACCAGAGCCAGATGCATCACACTCCACAATGAATGAAACTGCAAAATCCGGCAGCTGAAGCACCGGGGCGGTGGTAAGAGCTGTCATGAGAGCTTCAAAGGCGGTAGTCGCCGCAGGCGTCCAAAGAAATCCGTCCTTCTTGAGGAGCGTCGTGAGGGGGGCTGCAATGATGCCAAAATCCCGGATGAACTTGCGGTAGTATCTTGCCAGTCCTAAGAAACCACGCACATCACGGACGGTGCGTGGAACCGACCAGTCTACCATGGCTCGAACCTTGTCGCTGTCCATGGCAACTCCTGCAGCGGAGATGACGTGTCCCAGATAAGCCATGGATTCTTCCCCAAAGGAACACTTGGAGCGCTTGAGAAACAGCTGATGTGTGTGCATAGCCTCCAAGACGAGCTTGACATGACGCAGGTGATCCGACCAGGACGAGCTGTAGATCAAGATATCATCGAAGAAGACAAGCACAAACCGACAGAGATAGGGACGAAGGACGTAGTTCATGAGTGCTTGGAACGTCGTTGGGGCATTGGTCAACCCGAAGGCCATCACCACAAACTCGAAGAGGCCCTCATGTGTGTGGAATGCAGTCTTGTTGATATCCTCAGGGGCCATCGGAACCTGGTGGTAACCCGACCGGAGATCCAGTTTGGTGAAAAAGCGGGCGCCCTTTAGTTCATCCAGAAGTTCATCGACGACGGGAATTGGAAACTTGTCCTTGATGGTGACAAGGTTGAGACCACGGTAGTCGATACAGAAACGCCAAGTCCCATCGGCCTTTCGGACGAGTAGAACGGGGGATGAAAATGCAGAAGAACTAGGACAGATCAGACCACGAGCCAGCATCTCTGAACATCGGCGCTCAAGTTCATCTTTTTGAATTTTTTGGTAGCGGTAGGGTTAGACAGCAACCGGCGGTGTCCCGGGAACAAGATGAATATGATGGTCATGTGAGCGCTGTGGCGGCAGGCCCGGAGGGTCGGCGAAAACATCAGCGAAAGTGGCCAGAAGGCTGTCCAGAAGGTCCTTGCCTTCGCACGCATATAGGTGTGCAGGCCGTCCGAGGGAGCTGAGGCCCGACCACTCCACACGGTGATCCGAGTGCCAAAATGACATCCACTGCGTAATGAAGTCCCAGAGAATTGGCCCAAGCGTTTTGAGGAAACGTGTAGCGAGGACGATGTCGAACCCGTCCAAAGGAATGGCATGCAGATCAACAATGAAACGCTCCTTATCGATGGTGATCGCGGATTAGCGACCGTGACTCCCAAGCGACGATTGGAGGAGAAAGGCAGCCCGACGATGGTGGCCAGCTCTTCATGGATGAAGTTATGAGTGCTGCCCGAATCCAGCAAGGCGACCAAGTCACGGTCTCCAATGCGAAGAGCGACCTGCATTGTGTCGCTGGTGGGAATTCCGGTGACATCCAAGAGCGAGATTTGTGCCTCCTGGAAATCCTCAAACTGCTCCTCTTCGGCGTCGGCGGACTGAATGTAGAACAGCCATTTGCGGCGATGGCCCCGCGCGAACTTCTCATCACAATTAAAGCAGAGACCCTTAACGCGCCATTCATCCATCTCGGGCGGCGTGAGTCTTTTGAAGACAAGCGCGGGCGTGGGGTTGGAGGAGTCCGGTAAGGCCGGAGTAGGTGCGGCCATGGGGCGGAGTGGGCGGCTGGGCCGGCCAGGGGTGGCCGCGGTGCTGGTGATAGTATTGAGGTGCTCAAAAGAGATGGCTAAGTCCATAGCTGCGTCCAAAGTTACCGGTTTCAGCATCTTGACCTGAGTTTTCATGGGCTCGCCCAAGTTGTTGGTGAAGATATCTCGCTCATAGTCATCGGCAATAGGGCGCACCCGAGAGAGATTCTCTAGAAATCGCTTGGAGTATTCCGCCACGGTGCCGGAGTGACGGGTGGCCCCACATGACATCCCAACTCAACATTTCTTACGCAAATTTATGTTAGGACTATTTATGAATCTTTGTACCTGAAAATATAATTTATTCCTATAGTTTATAGTAAGGCCTGACATAAAACATGGCTTTGTGATAGCTTGTGACAGTCATACGCAACTTTCTCTACTTTCTCCATAGGCCATTAGTTCTATGTTTATGTTAACAAGGGCATGGGTTTTGGTTTTGCCCCGACCCCCAAAATCTCAGGACCAATAATGTTAGTTTGCTTGCCATATAGGTAGTTATAATTGTAGATTGCATATCTACAGATCTTATTTTATCCGCAATTATCCCTAAAGTTGGAAGAAAAGCTAAAATTTGGTACTCTCTTTTACCCCACTCTAGTCGATCTCTTCGATCCTTTCAACTGTAGACACACTGAGGAGGGCATTCCTGTGCGACGTCATGGGGCAAGTGCTTCAACACCTAGAAACAAGTGTGCCGCCCTAAGTGGAGGGTGGTCTCAGGGTGTGCTATCTTGCCACTCAAAATACCCGCCTTCAGGTGAAGCTACTGCACTGCCTGCACTCGGAGCCAGTTGCCCCGTCGCTCGCCTGGTCCTCGGCGACACCAGTGGAAGATTAAGTCTGGATTAGGTCATCGTAGATGGTCCGCTCGCTTGGTGATACCTCTTCAGTCGTCGTCGGGTACTTGACGTGCACGCCATTCTGGCAAGATGCGTGACTGAGTGGGGAGCCCTATTGCCCAGGTTTCCCCTCCCTATTCTCTCACACCCTCGGCATTAAACACGACAACCTCACATTCTAAAGCATATTGTTATGAAATCCCGTAAATTTACCAGCATGCTTCCTAAATCGTATGTATTTTGGAAAGGGGCTATACGAGCTCAACCTTTCAATGGCAATAAGATTTGGCTTTATCTTAAAGTACATCTCTATAATTAGTAAAATTATTTAAAAATAACTGAAAGGTACCCAAAACTTAGAGAACGTTAGTAAATAGCACCATTTTCTATTATTAACTAATTAGCCATTCAAGTGCATGAGTGATTTAATTCAACAATCCCCCCCCCCCCCTAAGAGACTTGGTTGTAATTTTTATTTTCTGGGGGGTGTTTCTGCTGTTGCTCCGGGACAGTTGTCCCCTCCATTTTAGTGTGTGTGCCGCGTCCAATGTATGCTGGTTGTTAGCTTATTAATGGAGTCGTGGTTACCCGTAAAAAAAGATTATTAGAAGAATATGTGTACCTCTTATGTGCGAGATGTTCTCTAAGAAGGTCAATGATGTCTTGCACCTCGCGAGCCTGAGATGACTCCTTCATCCCAAGCTTCAGTTGTAGGCCACCGAGGAGGCTTATCATATCAGGTCTTTGGGAAACCGATACAAATGCTTTAGAAGTGAACTGTCCTCCAATCTCATCATACACTTGTTTGGCGAGTGTAGTTTTACCAAGGCCCCCAAATCCAACAATGGCCACCACCTTGAGTTTCACCTGGGTATATGTCAACCAACTTACAAGCTCTTTCTTTGGGCCATCAATACCCACAAGACCCTTTGCATCCTTGTAGATTGCAGACATGCAAGGATCAACATGAATGACGCGGGAAGTAGAATTGACGCAATCATCAATCTTGTACCTTTGCATCAGAGCAACAAAATATATTTATCGGTTTCCTGTGAAAGACATTGTGTGCGTGGATCTTCTTTTTTGAAAATAGTGATAATATTGTATCTCATGCGTCATTCATTTGCCTGTAGAGCAAGAACCTTGAGCTCCTCCATCCGATCAGCAATACGATGACGCTTCCGCAGCGTCTTCAGACGTTTGGCCGTCTTCTTTATAAAGCCCATCTTGGCATCGGCACCTCCAAGGTCTCGCATGAAGTCATCGATGCAATTCTTCATGTCGTAGGACATCTCCCTGACATGGTCCCTCCAGTTCTTGGCCAAGGGATCCAGTTCATCCATCAGCTCAAGCTTCTCAAGGAGAGCTTTCATGGTGCTAAGCTCATCCTTGAGGAACGAGGCATGCTTCCTGACTGAAGTGAGTTTCTTGTACTCGTCGCCCATCAGTGCCGCGAGCTTGCCGATGAGGGGGTTAATCGCCCCCATGGTGGCACTGACGATTGGTTTTTTTTAGAAAAGGAGGAAGACCCCCGGCCTCTGCATCTGGGCGTTGCATACAACCATTTTATTAATTATTAACACAAGACCTTACAAAGTCATACAACAATAAGACTAAAGCCACCGTCTAAGCAATATCTGTCGCTACTCCTATCCATATGATAAAGGGGCGCTGATAGTCTGGGCCTAATACCAAACAGACCTCGCAGCCAAACCTAACATCTAAGACCTGAGGTCCCAACCAAGACGCCTGCCGGGTATGGGCACCCACCAGTCCAGCGTGCTCCTCAACCAGGACGCCTGCCGGGTATGAGGCCGCCGCAGCCACCTGCCACCAATCCATCTTTAGAGTTGTACTGCTGCATGTACCTTGCCCGGTCAGCTGCCGCCGACGCCACCACGACGCCAGACAACATTGACCTCCTGCGCGAGTCCATCATCCCACATCAGACGCCTAATCTCCAGGGTGCCATGCCATCGAGATCCGACACCATCAATGTGTATGATGAAGCACCGCTCCTCCTCTTGTCACCTCCAGCCATCACTTGCTCCAAAACGATGCCCCCATGAGGGAAAGCGATACTAAGAACGCCATCATCATCCAATCCGGGAGTCCTAGATCTAGGGTTTCCCCCGGAGCATCCCGAGCCTGATTACGCCAACTGCAACGATGATGCCTCGACAAGGAAACAACATCAAAGACGCCGCCATCGTCCGCCATGACCGTAGTCAGCGCGATTTTCATCAGCAGTTGCGCCATCGGGCATACGCCGCCGGCCTCGCTGGTCCCTTCAACCGTAGCAAACTCCAAAATGATGCCCTGAAGGACTATGACGCAAAAGCACCGCCATCGCTCGATCCCATGGAGATCTAGGGTTTCCCCCGGTGTTACCCGAGTTGTCAAGGACCATTCAAGGATGAAATCCCGCAGATCCGTCCAGCTGCCGACGTGTCGCACTCGCCATCGCGCCGACCATGACCCGGAGACCAAGCTCACGCCTGGGCCTAGATCCGGCCGCGCCGCCGCCGATCTGGTCACGCCGCCGCCGTCCTTGGCGCCCGTGGCGTCCCAGAACTTGAAGCCGCCTGCCATGGGGTATGGGATTGCCGGAGCGCCACCAGCCCCCGCCGTGACGTCCGGCCGCACGCCACGCTCTGGCCCGGGGCGCCGGCCCGTGCCAGCTCCTCTCGAGCGGGAGGGCACCTACGGCAATGGCAAGGCTTTGCCTGGCCGCGCCCTCGGGCGGCGGCGAGGGAGGAGGAGGACGAGAGGGGGAGTCGGGGGCGACGGGATCCGGGGCCTCCCAGCCGCCGCACGGGGGCGACTCGGGAGGACGAGAGGACGAGAGGAAAAGTCGTGATTGATGCGCTGACGATTGGTGCAGACATCTCAATGCCGAGGCTTCTTCCGCTGTTGGATCAACAGCCCGCTCGCGTGCTGCAAGTGGGCGTGACGGCGACTCGAAGGGAGGAGCTGCAGTGGTGCCGGAGAAGTCCAACTGGGTGAGCCGGAGCTCAAGAGGTGGATGGCCGTGGCGCATCCGCGGCCGGAGGTGGAATAGGTGGTGGACTGGTGGTGCAGCGGGATATGAGGATGCTGTTGTAGGCTGACTGGTCATGGCGGAGCCCGGGCAAAATACGTAGCAGTGTGGGGAGTCGTCGCGGCGCATTTTGAAAATTCAGCGTGGAAAAACTCGTACGCAGAGATTGCAAGGCTGTGAATCCATTGTGCTGTTTCAACGAAGCTGATGCCTGGTCACTCTCAGAAAGCAGCCAAGAAGACGATTCCCGGAAGCTACTCAAGGAGGAGGTTGATGTTGTAGGTTAATATCGCCACTGTCGTTTTCCGCCTTTAGTTCCCGTACAACGACAACCGGAGACAAACTGAGCAAGGAGGTCGTCCCCGGCAACTCCAGGAAGCTTCCTTCAAAGACTCAAACAAAGGGGAGTTGATCCTACAGATTAACATCACCATTGTCATCTGGAAGGACAACAACAGCCGGAGGCAAACCGGTTGAGTGAGGTCGCCGTCGCGGACGACCAATTCCTAACAGCTCTGGTTCTCCAATGCTTCAACCCAATGTGCCATGCTCCTGCTGTCCTAGGATTATTTTTTTTCCTTCTAAGGTCCGGTTGTAGGCTTGCAGGTTTTGTAGGACCAAAAGGTTACACATTGCAAAGGAAACAGCTAGTGCACTCTGATTATAGTGGCGCAGAAGATTAATCAAATAAGGATGCCGAAGATGAATCCTCAAACATCAATGATCAGGAACGAACAACAATGTTAAGTTCACAGCCAAGCGTTATCTGGATGTACAAGACGCAGCTATTACAGGCTTTAACCAAGTGATCACTTGCATTCAGATCATGCAGGAACTGTACTCAGGCAGTCAAGATTCAGATATTCAGTCAAATATACTAACTCTGACATCATAAATTACATGGTATCATGAGCAAAACTTACAGAGCTTTCACACAGAAAATACAATGAATAATAAATAAAACAAGTAAACCGGAGAAGGTCCGCTAGGATACTACTACTCCCTCCGTTCGGAATTACTTGTCGTAAAAATGGATGTATCTAGATGTACTTTAGTTCTAGATACATCCATTTTCGAGACAAGTAATTCCGAACGGAGGGAGTAGTAGATTGTAACAGGAGGGAATCTTGGGTGCACCTGTGCAGCGTTCCTGAAGGCAGACTCGACATCACGGTCGTCATGGATGGATGACATGTTATCTACATGGATTTGTTCGAGGGATAAGAGGTGCACCATGCCCACTGGCATAGCACTTCCACCACCCCACCTATCATGTACTCTTACGAGTCTTCGGAGCTTGGGCATAGCCCCTACCTCGAAACCAGAGCAAGGCTACAACCGGGACTCCAGAACTGGGAATGATCCTGTACAATTATGGCAGAACTGTCTTGAGGAATACACAACACCTTGAGACTGAAATACACGAGGGAAGGCAGCTGCCCAAGAACATGAACGTCGTCAGTCGACAACTGCTTGGCACACAGAGACAGTCTATGGAGGCGATTGATAGCATCCTAATTTCAAAACAATAATATTCACAACCTTCGCTCGTTTTTGTAGTTAGAGCAGAAGAACTAGAGTACAAACATAGTTTTTTTTCTTTCTCGACAAGGAGGATTACTCTCGGAGAGTACAAACATAGTAGTATAAGAAAAAAACTCTATCTAAAATACTGTCGGAACAGAGGGATACTGGGGACAGTGTTGTTACCATATGACCCAAGGAACCTTGATTTGTATCATTTATTTGAAAATTAATAAAATACGCAGCAGAATCCTGCTGTTTCCCTAAAGAAAATGACCCACGGAGTATTTTTCTTTCTTTCTTGCTGAACCTTGTACTGTGTAGCTTCTATCCTGGTGTTTCATGCTAGTAAATTTTAGCAGTGAATGCATTTAACTCTACTATCTGAATGATTTGGACAAAGTTGTTGTGCTCCTGATGTCATGCTACAGAGTTCAGAATGGTGCATCGATCTTATCAAAGCCTTCATCTTAGTAAAGCAGAGTCAAAACAAATTCTCTATCTCTCTTCATAGTGTTGATATAGCCACATAAGCTTCCCTCTTACAATTTGAATGATTTGAACGAAGTGGTTGTACTCCCCCATGTAGATACTTTGGGTTCTCGCATGGTGAATCTATCATAGTAGGAACCAAAAGTGCGGATTAGGACTCGTACCAGAACCCTAGCCCCCGCGTCGCCCCTCCCGCGGGCGATTCGGGCGGCGCCGCCACCTCCCGCCGTCGCCCTCCCCCTCCTCCCCTTCCTCGCCGCCACCGGCCAGAGCTGCCGGGGCAAAGCCCCCCGCGGTGGCTGGCGGTGGGGGCCTTCTCCCCTCCTCGCTTCCATGGCCTGCGGGGCGGCCAGGCCGGGCGGAGGCGCCGGGGCGTGCAGATCCTGGCGGCGCGGCGACGAAGATCTTGACGGAGGCGGGCCCGATGGCGCGGCTGTAGATGGGTTGCCGTCTTGCTGTGTGGCGGCTGCGTGCGGGTCTCCTCGTGGCGGCGGCCTTCGCCGGCGGCGGGGTGGCACGTGCACGGCATCAGGCGAGGGGTGGGCACGCGGCCACGGTGGCTTCCTATGCGACCGGAGGTACGCGGAGAAGAGATTGCAGCGTGTGCCCTCGGGGAGGATGGATATCCTCGCCCAGATCCGTCGGCGGCATGGTGGTGGAGGTCGCAGTGGCCGGTCGGCGGCGGTGGAACAAGGCCGGTAGCAGCGGCGATGTTCTGTCTGGATCCCGGGGCGGCGGCCCTGGATGGTGGTGGCGGGTGAAGCTCGGGCTTCCTGTGGCGGCATGGTATGGTGCAGTCCCTGTCCAAGGCGGATCTGTGACGGCGATCTGTTTGCAGACTGGTTCGGATTAGAGACAGTGACGAGCGCGCGGGATCCATCTCGGCGGCTCTCGCGGTTTGGCGAGGTGGGGTGGGAGCCCTCCTCCCAGGCTCCACTGGAGGCACAATCTGGCAGTGGTAGGTGCGCCAGGACTCCTACGGTGGCACTGCTGTTGCGATTGGTCGCCTGGCTAGATCTGGGGCTTTGAAGGCGGTCGAGACGGTGCACAGGTTGTCGGGTGGATTCCTTGGGACGGATCCGGGTGAAAACCTGGTTTTCGGTCGTTGGCCGGAGCCGGTGATGACGATGCCCTTATCATCGTTTCCTTCATGAAGGCATCATCGAGGTACAAATCCCAAACCCACACAATACCTCCGGGGGAAACCCTAGATCAATTGATCGGATGACGACGGCATTCATGTGTCGTTACCCCCTTGGGGGCGGCATTCTTGGAGATGTACTCGGGCTCGAGGGACCAACGGATGGCTTTTTCGGTGGAGCGGTGTTTCGTTCTACATATTCATGGCGGCGGCTCTTGGCGGCATGGAGCAGCGGAGGCTTGGCGTCAGATGTGTGGTGATGGACACGCGCAGGAGGTCAACACTGTCTGGCATCGTGGTGGCGTCGGCGGCAGCTAGACCGGACAAGTTTGATGCAGCAGTACAGCTCTGAAGATGGATTGGTGGCAAGTGGTTGCGGCGGCTTCATACCCGGCAGGCGTCTTGGTTGAGGAGCACGCCGGACTGGTGGGTGCCCATACCCGGCAGGCGTCCTGGTTGGGACCTCAGGTCTTAGATGTTAGGTCTGGCTGCGATGTCTGTTTGGTATTAGGCCCAGGCTATCAGCGCCCCTTCATCAATTGGATAGGTGTAGCGACAGTTGTTGCTTAGACGGTGATTTAGTCTTATTGTTGTATGACTTTGTAAGGTCTTGTGAGAATAATTAATAAAGTGGCCGTATGCATCGTCCAGATGCAGAGGCCGGGGGTCCTCCTCCTTTTCTAAAAGAATGTAAATAAAGCAGTCAAAACCACTTGTTTATCGCTCTTCAGAGTGTTCCTATTAAAACATTTGGAATTGGTTATGAATTCAGAATTACACCTAGATAGCAAGTTAGTCATATTTCACATGTTATCTTGGATATTCTGTAACTTGATGGTTACAAATAGCTTAGGAGCTTCATTGATTCACATAGATATAGTGCAGAGGATTAAACAAATCAAGGAGATGCGGATGATTCGTCAATTATCTCTGCCAGACACATTCATCATCTTTGTTTAGTTACAAATATAAATACATCTCTTTGTTTAGTTGCAAATATTAACAACTCTATCAATATCCAGCGCTTGCATATGCTCTAGTTTTATTTTTCAAAGGAACGGTTAAAGTGGACAACCAAACGGCCATCTGCATATACAGCAAGCTGTACAGATTACATGTCTATTCAGCTCATGCAGGAACAATATTTAGGCGGTCAAGATCTGCATATACAACCAAATATCTCAAAACACTGCGTGGTAAATTAAGTACAGTGTATGCTGCGTAATTAACTGACAAACAGAATCGCTGCACGGTAAATAGATGGAATAATATTGAATAAAAGAGTAAAAAAACAAGGGGTTATTTATAGAGAATGCTGATCAAGTGAACATAGTAATGGAAGGGTGTTTCCGCAGCAGTCCGGAAGGCAGTCTAGACATCACGTCGCTTGTGGATGGAGGATCTCACACCTATACGGATGTGCCCGAGTGCCAGCAAGTGTTCCATGCCTAGTAGCATAGCACCACCCCACCTGTCACATATTTCTAGGCCGAGCAGTCATGCATATTGTAGCATCATCACCATCTTCAGAGAAGAGTCTAAGGTCCTCTAGGGTTGGGAATAATCCTGTGCAGGCTATGGCAGCACCACTATCTTCAGTTATATGTGTCACCCAGAGACATAGTTCGACGAGGGTGGGCAGCTTTCCAACAACATTAACCTCTTCAGTCGACAAATGCTCAACCGACAAGGACAGGCTACCAAGGCAATGGAGGTCGCCAATCCAATTGGGAATTCTCTTCAACAACCATCCTTGTAGATAAATTTTCTCGATATGAAGAGGAGGGTTGGACGATGAGTATATCAGGTCGCAATAATGTTTAGAAGGCTCCCCATGGACGGTAAGTAATCTGAGGTCACAAAGCTTTCCAATTGAGGATACCAAAGCATCAACTACCTCCACCGTCACTTTGCCGAGGAACACCAGGACCCTCAGATTGGTCAGCTTGCCAAGGCCATCAATATCCTCTAGCGAGCTCTTCCAATATCAAAGCAGTTTAGACTTTAGAGCACACAATGATTTAATGTTTTTGATCCCTTGAGGCAACCCTATACCCTTTGGAAGGGTTAGTTGAGACAATCGTGGCAAGAAAACTATATCTGACGGGAAGTTTTGCGCCGATCAGCTAGCTATTTGCAGTTTCTCCAAATGAACAAGCTCTAGAATTTCGGTAGGGAGATGTATGATGCATTGGAATGCAACAACTTTCAAATACCTTAGTTGAAACAATTGACCAATAGGAGTGAGGTCAAGTGTTGTACCCTTTTTGTATGAGAATTCATACACCAGAACCCGAAGGTACTTAAATAGCGAGAGTGGAGGTGCGTACTTGGACTCCCTAAACTGTGAAAATGAGCGAACTTGTGACATGCTAGTATGAATGACCCTTGGTGCTACATCATTAGAGCTTGGATTCAAGGACAATCTACGGACCTTGTGCTCGAAGGCATGCATTCTTGCAACATCTTCCCAATTAATATGCCACACTGATAAAAATTTCCTCTGCACACTTGCTGATGATCAAATCAAGCATCATATCATGCACTTTGCAAGACACCACCGCTTCTAGTAAAATATGAATGTCGAGCATTTTCCCACCCATGGTTGCATATTGATGTGGAATTTTCATTTTCCCACCCATGGTTGCATATTGATGTGGAATTTTCCATACATGGCTCGCTGAGGTGACATATTTCCATGTTGAGAAAAAGGGTTCCCCCCCACCCCCCCGCTTTGTATTACAAAGCAACCAACCGATACAACCGACGATAGGTGCTGGGGCGGAAGCAGCACAAACACGCCCAAAAGAAAGAAAAGAGAAAAAAGAAAAGAAACAAATACCGATAACGGCGGATCGACAAAAACGACGAAGCCTCGTGACCGCTGCGTCCACCGGAGATCGCCCACCAAGCTCCGAGACTCCGAAGTGCCGGTACCCAACAACACCTCCAAGAAGGGACGCGACGATGACGACACTGCTGCCAAGGGTTTTCCCCGGTACACTGTGAGGAGAGAGGAAGGGTAGCCCCGACGCCCTCCCGGAAGGTCCGGCGGCACCCTCAGGCGCCATCGCGTCGGTGTCGGCCAAGCCAACAGAGATTTCTCCCGATCCCAGTCTCTACCTCAGGCATTCCGGAGCTCGCCACCAGACCGACCACCACCCTGTGCCAACATGGACACGAAGCTTCCCACGCTGTCTCACCACGGCACCGCGAAGATGGTCTGCACAACGGAGAAGAGGAGATGGGACTAGGGCAACAACACCGTCGGCATACAGGAGGGCCCCACCTCCACCGTCCATGATGGTAGCCGACCGGACGCCATGGCAGGAGCCTACCGGGCCCGTGGCCCCACAGGCCCGGCCAGGCCCTCAAAGGCCCGGTCAGCTCCCGCCTCCGCGCAGCAGCTGGTACGCCGTCGGCGTCGCTGTCCTAGTCCAAGCCGTTCCCCTGCCTCCCCATACAGAGAGTGTCGCGGTCGCGCCGGAGCCGACCCGCAAGGACCCAGAAGGGACCCTACGGGCCCAGATCTGGGCCGGGGACGCGCCCCCAGCCGGCCAGCACCAGCGGACCACCCCGCCGCCAAGAGGCGGCACCACCACGGCGAGCACCGCCGGCCTCCACACCAGGACGCCGGACCGCCACCGGCCATCACCGCCCGAGCAGGGGAGGACCGCGAGCGGGGAAGGGCAAGCCCACCGCCGCCAGCATCACGCGGCGGGGGGCGGAGGGATGGGCGCGGGGAACGGGGGGAGGAGGGGGCTGGTGGCTCCGGCGGGCTCTGGCCGCCGCGGCGGCGGCTCCGCGCGGGGGAGCCGGCGGCGGCGGCGGGGAAACCCTAGGGAGCGGGAGCGGGAGCGGGGGAGCGGGGAGCGGGAGCCTCTGGTTGATTTCGTGTGAAAGCTTATCTCACATATTTCCATGTTGAATAAGTAAGTTAGTGTGATCATCAACTTAGTTCTGCCCTCTGAGATCACACATGAATAAATGTATTCAGGTAGACAAGATTCAGATACGCCCAAATCATTACAAAACACTAAAAACTAGAGAGTATGATAAACAGATTCTTTACTTGGGGGAAGAATGAAGAAAAGAAGCACAACAATAAAGGACAATTTATGTTACCCTCTTGTTACATAATGTAGTGCCTATAGAATTAATTAAGTCAAAGTTTGACCACATTTATAGAACTGAGGGAAGGCGGAGGTATTATTTCTAAGGAAGGTCGTCTTGGGTGCACATCGACGACGCTTCTGAAGGCAGACTCGACATCACGGTGGTTGACGCCGTCTCTGGCAAATACAGAGATGTGTTCGAGGGCCAATAGGTGCTCCATGCCTTGAGGCACAGCACCACCCCAGCCATTCTTTACTTCTAGAGTGAGCTGTCGCAGGCTGGGCATTAGTCCTGTCTGAAACTGCATGTGTGCCACATCATGAGAGAAGAGACGAAGGACTTTCAGGACTTGGAATAAGCCCATGCAGATGATGGCCCCGCCTTCAGCGGACACCCATAGATCCAGATGGACGAGGCAGGGCAGCTTTCCCACAACATGAACCTCGTCGTTGGACAAGTTGTCGACACGCAAAATCAGGATCCGAAGGAAATGGAGGTCACCAATCCATGTGGGAACTCTCTTCAGTGTCCACCCGAATAGATCAAGTTCCTCGATATGGAGAGGAGGGTTGGATAATGAGTACATCGGGTTGCAGTGATGTTTAGAAGGCTCAACACCGACTGCAAGGTATTTTAGGTCATGGAGCTTTCCAATTAGGGATACCAAAGCATCAACTTCACCCGCCACCACTTTAGTAGAAAGTCTCAACTCCCTCAGGCTGGTCAGCTCGATAACGGCATTAATATCCTCTAGCGAGATGTTCTCCATACAGTGCAGTGCACGCAATGATTTTATGTTGGCAATCCGTTGAGGAAGGCGTGTAAGACTGAGACACTCAAGGATCAGACGAGACAATCGTGGCAAGCAAACAATATCTGACGGGATGCTTGATGCATTACCAGATATTTCCAGCGTCTCCAAATGAACAAGCCCGCGAATTTCAGTAGGCAGATCTATGAAGCACGGGAATGCAGAAACCTTCAGATATCTTAGCTGAAACAGTTGACCAATTGCAGTGAGGTCGACTATCGTACTCCTCTCGAATGGGAACATAAACACCAGCACCCGAAGGTACTTAAATAGCGAAAGAGGAGGTGTGTACTTGGACTCTCCAAATTGTGCAAATGATCGAACTTGTGACATACTAGTATCAATGATCCTCAATGTTGCATCATTGGTGCTTGATTTCAAGGACAACCTACGAACCTTGTACTCACAGGCATGCATTTTTGCCACGTCTTCACAATTATATGCCACGTTGATAAAATTTTGGTCCGCACACTTGCTGAGGATGAGATCAAGCATTATATCATGTACTCTGCAACCCTCCACCTCTCCAGACATTGAGGTTCCAGCAGGCTGAATCAGGCTTCTATTGATAAGCTCATTAAAATAACTCTTCCCAATATCCTCCAAGTCTGACCCATGAGAACAATTGACAAGGCCTTCAGCTATCCATTGTAGAACCAGATCATGCCTACTGACCGTTTCGTCTTCTGGATACATGCCAAGATACAGGAGACATGGACGAAGATGAAGAGGAAGATGCATATAGCTAAGGTTTAGTATACTCCTCATCTCTTCTAAGGTGGGATTTGTGGCAAACATGGCGCCCAAAGAATTTCTTATGCTCTCCCACTCGTCCTTTGATCTTGTTTGACGACTAGCTAATAGACTAGCTATAGTGATGATTGCAAGTGGCAACCCTCCACACTTCTTCAATATTTCAACCGAAACTTCTTTTAAGTAAGGTGGCCAGACACATCCGGAACCAAATACTCTATTACAGAACAGCATTCTTGAGTCTTGTTCTTTGAGGGGTTCCATTCTATAAACACACTCATGGTCATTGTGACACGCCCAAATAGCCACATCCTCCACTCGTGTAGTTACTATTACTCTACTTCCATTCCCGACTTCCGGAAAGATACAACTCATGATATTCCATGTTGATTGATCCCACAAGTCATCAACAACAATAAGGTACCTGTTCAATTTTTTTGTACATATTACATATGTTTAATTGTGATATGATAGTAAGTTGAAGATGAAGGCACTGAAACCTAGTAATAGTTAAGCACAAACAAAGAATGAACTAAACAAGAATTCGAGCAAGAAGATGATATTCCTTACATTATTTAGCATGTTCACATAACATTCTAGCATAGACTAAGTTATTTAATGTATGATGTGTTAAAACACTACAATATCTTTGACTAATCTTAGAAACGCCTGAACGAAAAAGACACCATGTTTGTACTATACAATAAAAGAAAGTGATGTGAGCCCGTAGGTTTATGTACCCATACAAGTACCAATTTTCTTGGATCCAACTAATCTTAGCCATCGATCAATCTCTAATTAATATCTGATGGCCCATAATTTTTGTTGGAACTCTCTAATTCATCTTCAATTACATACTCAATGGAGAAATAAGAGCAAATTAAGCGTCATTTTCTCCCTTTCATACCCCCATCTAAAGTTTGCATATCTTCTCGGCCTGGTAGTTTTACTTACCTCAAATGAAGATCATGCCATTCTTCTTCTAGTGGCGTGTTTTTTATTTTATGGATTTTCTATTTTACTTTCTACTGACTTATAATTCCATATCAATCAATTTTCTTGGAAAAAAAATCCTCTTTCTCTCCCATCTTCGGTTTCGACAAGCCATAGCAGGAGCCCATGACAACATGGGGGCGTCGAGCATGGGTGGAACGGGATTCAAGGCATTGGGAGTGTCAGAACTATGTGTGCATGTTGCCCAGTCAAGAAACACTCCTCCTTGCAAAGAGAGCCTTGGCTCAATGGTTGGGCATGCGGTTGTACATCCTAAGAGCATCTTCAGCCGCGCCCCCAACAGCCCCCAGGCGTTTTTTAGCGCTGGCGCCCAAAAATCAGCCCAGTCGCGCCTCCAGGAGCCTATTTTTTTGCCGGTTTGGGCCGAAATTGGCACCGACGGACCCAGGCCGAACCTGGCGCGCTGGGGCGCCCGGGGGCGCCGGGCAATCGAATTTGGCGCAAAAGAAAGGCAGGCCCGCCGAGTCAGCAACCCACGCACCTCGTCGTCCTCATCGCCTCGGTTTCCCGCGGGGAATCAATGCCAAGGCTGCCCGCCGGTCAGCCTTCCATTGATTCCTCACGGGTGGCGCGGGCGCGGCGACGCACCACCTCCCGCCACGCGTACACACGACACCCACCCCTTGGCTGCTATATAAAGCAGCGCCTCCTCGGCCGCACCTCACCCACAACAGCCGAGCTCTCTCCACGCCGCCGTGCTCTCTCCCCGTGCGCCGACGCCGCCGACGTTCCTCCCCTCTCTTCTTCCCAAGCCGCGATGATGGGCGAGAGGTTCCCCGGCGATGGGGCGGCGGCCAATGGCTTCGTCCGGCGCTCGCTGCACGAGTGGGAGGCGTACCTGTTGTTTGAGGCCAACGCGCCAGCGCTGCCGGACATGCGCGCGCCGGGGCGGTGGAAGCTCAGCACCGGTGGCGTCCCCATCCCCCCGCTGCCCGACGTCGACATGCGCCCCGACTACTTCGCCGACGAGGTCGCCCGCGTGCGGGCGTCACTAACGGAGGAGCGGTGGGCCCTCCCCAGTACGCCGGCGGCAACCACGAGGCCTGGGCGGCGTACTTCCAGCACCGGCAGGCGCAGCGACTCGCCTCCACCAACGGCGCACCGGTGGTGCGGGGGTCCAAGAACACCGAGGGCCGCCGCCTGTGGTGGGGTGCCCCCGGCTGCACTCTCCATGCCGTCCTCGAGCACCTCGAGGGCGGCAACAACCCGCGATTGACGTACCCTGCCGCCCTGGTCCCCCGCCGCAGCGGCGGCCAATGGATGCCGCGCCGGGCCGGCTCCTCTTCTTCCTCCTCCAGCTCGTCCTCCCGCTCCTCCGGCTCGTCCGCGTTGCTCGGAGTCAAGGCCGAGCCCGCGGAGACGCCGCTCGGCCGGCGCACCCGCGGCACCGGCATCGTCATCAACGAGGGCGGGCGTGCCTCCTCCTCGGCTCCTCCCCGCTTCATCAAGCCGAAGACGGAGCCGGGCCTCGGCGTCGTGAAGACAGAGCCAGGGCTCGCTGATATGAAGGCGGAGCCAGGGCTCGACGACGCGACGGCCTTGAAGTGGGCGCGCGAGGACTGGGCGCGGACGGAGCTTGAGTGGTAGCGCCGCGCCCTGGAGCAGTTCTCTTCTCGGCGCCGTGTCCGCGACGAGGGAGGCGTCGTCGTCCTCGACGACGACAGCGGCGGCGACGCACCGCCTCCGCCGGTCCGTGACCCCGGGCAGGAGTCCAGCAGTGGTGTCCGCGTCAAGGAGGAGAAGGACGACGACGGCGGCGGCGACGACGGTGACTTCGACAACCTGAGCGCGTTTTTCGGCCTGTAGTCGCGGCCCTGTTTTTTTAAGTACTTTATCTATGTAAAAAACTATTTCAATTCGCCGAGATAATGTAATGTTTCGCCGAATAATTGTCCCGTTCGTCGAATTTTAGACAAAAAATGTTCAAAAAATTAAAAAACAGCCGCCTGGGGCCAACCCGGGGGCCGTCTGCTGGGAACCAGATCGCGCCCAGGCCGATTTTAGCGCCAGTTCGCCCCCAGACCGTGATTTTTCGAGCCGCTTGGGGGGCCAACGGCTGGAGATGCTCTAACGACCCGAGTTCAATTTCTAGAATTGGTTGGTGCTGCATAGGTTTTTTTCCGAATTATTGAGGATCAAGCTTGGTGTGTGGTGGAACGACTCATCAAGAAATATCTTGATACTCATTTAAAAATATCTTGGTACTCATACTAAAATGGATGTATGCATTCTTAGTTGGTGCAGAAGCCGGGAAATGAAAATCTCTCCCAGTTTTAGAGCATGTTCAGTACATGACAGATTGATCAAACCATAGGGGAGAGTCGCGCACGGAGCCCCTCCCCCTCCCGACCCACCCCAGGGCGGCGCCAGGGCGATCAAATCCCAGCGCCGCCAGCCCCACAACCCACAGCGAAAGATCCTGCCGCCGCTGCCGCCGATGTTGGCCATGGTGGCGGCGGCACCGGTACCAAGGCGCCGAGGCAGGAGGAGGCGGCTGGGGCACCTTGGGCTGGGGGCTTCGCGTGGCGGCCAGGGCGGCTCCCTGGTCGTGCGGCGGCAACCGACGCCCCCATGGCAGGTGCTGCTAGCGATAGTGGGCATGACGGCGGCCGCGGATCTGGATCCCACCCAGACCCGTCGTCAACTCACGTGGATGGTCGGCGGCGCGATGTGGGCTCCGGTGAAGGGATGGAGGATCTCCGCCGGAGTACCGGCGGCGGCATATGTCTTTATGGCAAAGCTCCGCGCTGTTCCAGCCAGGCGCGAGATCGGGACGATGCGGCTTTCGGTGAAAACTGTGCCTAACTACGGTCTTGGCGGACGATGGCGACGTCTCTGACACCGTTTCCTTCTGGTGGCATCGATGTTGCAGGCCGCGTCAACTCGATCGGGGTGTTCAGGGAAACCCTAGATCTGGGTCTACTAGATCGGACGATGACAACGCCTTCAGTGTCATTCTCCCTCCTGGGGCCATCGTTTTGGAGCTAGTGTTGGCTGGAGGGGACAAGAGGAGGATCGGAGTTACATCTACCGCAAGGCCGATGGCGGATCCCGGCGGCATGGCGCTGCTGAGTTTCGGCGACGGGCGCATGTGGATGGATACGTGTAGGATGGTGGCATTGTCTCACGCCGTGGTGGCATCGACGACAGACCTGGCAAGGTGAGTGTATCAGTACCTGCTGTGGAGATGGATCGGTGGAAGACGGCGGTGGCGGCCTTTGAGAGTGCGTTGGACCGATGTGTGACCCAATCCCGACATTGTGGCTTGGCTGGGGCATCCCGCTTTAGATGCTAGGGTTCTGTGTGATGTCTGTTTGGTATTCGGGTCGGACATTCGGGACCCCTTCATCAAGTGGATAGGAGTAGCGACAGGTGTTGCCAAGATGGTGGCTTCAGACTTATGATGTACTCCCTCTGTCCCAAAATAAGTGTCTTAACATTGTACTAACTTTAGTATAAAGTTGTACTAGAGTTGAAACACTTATTTTGGGAGAGAGGGAGTATTACTTTGTAAAGTCTTTGTGAATAATTAATAAAATGGCTGCATGCATCGTCCAGATGCAAGGCCGGAGCTATATCCTCCTTTTCTAAAAAAAAAGGAACACTCCTCTGGACCTCTAATAACTACTCAAGTGCACAGTGTCAACTCAGAACAAAAATAAGTACCTCTTATGTGTTAGATATTCTCTAAGATGAGCAACCATGTCTTGCACCTCGTGAGCGTGAGTTAACTCCTCTTTCATCTCAAGCTTCAACAGGAGACCACCGAGGAGGCTTGACATATCAGGTCTTTGAGAAACTGATAAAAATATTGTACAGCTGAATTGCCCTCCGATCATATCATATACTTGTTTGGCAAGTGTAGTTTTACCAAGACCTCCAAATCCAACAATAGCCACCACCTTGACTTTTTCATGAGTATCTGTCAACCAACTTACAAGCTCTTTCTTTGGGCCATCAATGCCCACAAGCCCGGCTGCCTGCTTGTAGATTGCCAACATCCGAGTATCGATGGGAACGACACGAGTGGTAGAATTGGTGCAATCATCAATCTTGTACCTTTGCATCGGAACAAGAAAAACTGGATATTTATGGGTTTCATGTGCATAAAATTGCGAGCAAGGAGCTCCTATATTAAAAAAGCAGCCATATTTGTACCTCATGCGTCGTTCATTTGCTTGCAAAGCAAGGGCCTTGAGCTCTTCCATCCGATCAGCGATACGATGACGCTTCCGCAACGTCTTAAGACGTTTAGCCGTCTTCTTTATAAAGCCCATCTTGGCATCGGCACCTCCAATGTCTTGCATGAAGTCATCGATGCAATTCTCCATGTCGTAGGACATCTCCCTGACATGGTCCCTCCAATTCTTGGCTAAGGGATCCAGTTCGTCCATGAGCTCAAGCTTCTCAAGGAGGGCTTTCATGGTGCTGAGCTCATCCTTGAGGAACGAGGCCTGTCTCCTCACCCCTGTGAGCTTCTTGTACTCGTCACCCATCAGTGCGGCGAGCTTGCCGATGAGGGGGTTCATCGCCCCCATGGTGGCGCTGACGATTGGTGCAGACATCTCAAGCCGAGGGGCCGAGGTTCCTTCCGCTGTTGGCTCAACAGCCCGCTCGCGTGATGCAAGTGGGCGTGACGACGATTCGAAGGGAGGAGCTGCAGTGGCGCCGGAGAAGTCCAATGGGTGAGACGGAGTGCTCGGAGCTCAAGAGGTGGATGGCCGTGGCGTATCCGCGGCCGGAGGTGGAATAGGTGGTGGACTGGTGGTGCAGCGCGCGGGATATGATGAGGATGCGGTTGTAGGACAGCGGGATATGAGGAGCCCGGGCAAATATCAGCCTGGGAGTCGTCTATTGAGTCAACGACGCGTTGGAAAATTCAGCTTGGAAAAAACACGTACACAGAGATTGCAAGGCTGTGAATCCATTATGCTGTTTCAACGAAGCTGATGCCCGAAAAGAAGACGAGTGATCACTCTCAGAAAGCAGCCAAGAAGACGATTCCCGGAAGCTATTCAAGGAGGAAGTTGATCTTATAAGTTGATATCGCCACTGTCGTTTTCCGCATTCAATTCCCGGACACCGACAGCCGGAGACGAACCGAGCAAGGAGCCAAGGAGGTCGCCGCCGGCAATTCCAGGAAGCTTCCCTCAAAGACTCAAACAAAGGGGAGTTAATCTTACAGATTAACATCACCATTGTCATCTGGAAGGACAACAACAGCCGGAGACAAACCGGTTGAGTGAGGCGGTCGCCGTCGCTGATGACCGATTCCTAGCTGCTCTCGTTCTCCAATGCTTCAATCCGATGGTCCATGCTCCCTGCTGTCATAGGATTGCAAGCATTTGAGTGGTTTGAACAAAGATTTTGTGCTACTGATGTCGTGCTTCGCATTTTGGAATGATGCGTATATAGATCATTATTAAGCTTTTCCGCATATAAAGTAGAGCCCCAAAACCACCACCTCCTGCACCTGTTTTATCTCTCCAGAACGTTGAGGTTAACATATTTCGAACTGGTTCTGATTTCTGAATTAGAATCACATACAAAGTTAGTCATATTTCAAGGATCATGGGTTTTTGTGCACTCGGATTATAATGACACAGAAGATTAACCAAATAAGGACGCTGAATATGATTCCTCAAACATCATTGATCAGGAATGACGCAGCTATTGCAGGTTTTAACCAAGTGATCACTTGCATTCACAACATAATATAGAGATTAAATGTATGCATTCAGGTCATGCAGGAACTGTACTCGGGCAGTCAAGATTCAGACACAGCCAAACATACAGACATTTTTATTTTTATTTTCATTTTTCGCGGGTGAAATATACAGACTCTGACATGATAAATGGCATGGTATCATGAGCAGTAAACTTACAGAGCTCGTATACAGCAAATACAATGAATAATGAATAAAAACAAGTAAACCGGAGAACTGCTGATTTATGTTGCAGAAAAGGCCAATCATAATACTAGTAGATTGTAACAGGAGGGCATCTTGGGTGCACCTGTGCGGCGTTCCTGAAGGCAGACTCGGCATCACGGTCGTCATGGATGGATGACATGTTATCTACATGGATTTGCTCGAGGGATAAGAGGTGCACCATGCCCACTGGCATAGCACTGCCACCACCCCACCTATCATGTACTCCTAGAACGAGCCTTCGAAGCTTGGGCATAGCCCCTGCCTCAAACCCCATGCATGCAGTTGCATCATCATCACGAGACCTGAGAGCAAGACACTCCAGAACTGGGAATGATCCTGTACAGATTATGACAGCACTGTCTTGAGGAATACACAACACCTTGAGACTGAGATACACGAGGGACGGCAGTTGCCCAAGAACATGAACACCGTCAGTCTGCAACCGCTCAACACACAGAGACAGTCTATGGAGGCAATGAAGATCACCAATCCATTTTGGAACCTTGTAGAATGGCCATCCTCCCAGACGTAGATTCTCCATACGGAGGGGAGGATCAGATATTGAGTCCAGTAGGTCGACATAATGTTGAAGATTGCAGGCAAGGTAGAGAAATTTGAGGTTACAGAGCTTTCCAATGGAGGAGACCAAGGCTTCAACCCCTGCCTTCACCATATCAAACTTGTAGGACTTGGTGAGTGTCAGTTCCCTCAGATTAGTGAGCTCGCCGAGACCCTCAATATCATCCAATGAGCTCTTGCCCATGCAATAACAACGTAGAGTACGTAGCGATTTCATGTTCCCAATCCCATTTGGGAGTCCTGTATCACGCGGAAGAATCAAATGGGACAAGCGGTGCAACATGACTATATCTGACGGGATGTTTTGTGCCGTTCGGCAATCTATATCAATTGTCTCCAAATGAACAAGCCCATGGATTTCAGTAGGAAGCTCTATGCTGCCTGATGCTGCTGAAACCTTCAAATACCTAAGTTGAAACAACTGGCCAGCGGCAGTGAGGTCGACTACCATCTCCGATAATCTGGAAAATCAAAGAGAAGCACACGTAGATACTTAAATTCCGAAAGAGGAGGTGTGTACTTGGACTCGCCAAACCATGCAAATGATCGAATTTGTGTTAAGCTAGTAGCAATTGTCCCCGATGTTGCGCTACCAGCATTTAATTTCAGAGATAGTCGGCGGATCCTGTAGTTGCAGCCATCCCGTTGTGCCATGTCTTTATAGTCATATGCCACACGGATAAAATTATCTTCCCCACACTTGCTTAAGATCAGATCAAGCATCATATCATGAATACTACATGACAACACCTCACCACATATGGTATCTTCAGGCTGAATCATGCCCCTATTGATAAGCTCATGGAAGTAACTCTTCGCAGCATCCTCCAGATTTGATTCATGTAAATTACTGACAAACCCTTCAGCCACCCATTGTCGGACCAGATCAACCTTGCTAATCTTACGGTCCTCTGCATACATGCCAAGGTACAGAAAACATGCACGGAGATAAAGAGGAAGATGCATGTAGCTCAGGTTTAATATACTCCTCATCTCTTCCAAGGTGGGCTTTGTGGCAAACTTGGCGCTCAGTGAATCCCTTATGCTCTCCCACTCACTCCTTGATCTTGCTTGACGACTAGCTAATAAGCTAGCAATAGTGATGATTGCAAGCGGCAATCCACCACACTTCTTCAAAATTTCAGCTGAAACTTCTTTAAATTGTGGTGGACAGCCATCTGCTGACCCAAATACTCTATTATAGAATAAACTTCTTGAGTCTTGCTCTTGGAGGGGATTCATTTGGTAAATGCACTCACGGTCATGGAGACACACACGGAAAGCCACATCGCCCAGTCGTGTGGTTACGATTACTCTACTTCCATTACCATCTTCAGGAAAGGCACAACTAATAATATTCCATGCCGACTGATCCCACAAGTCATCGACTACAATAAGGTACCTGTTGAAATTTTGTAGAATTCTGATTATAAGTTGCCTCTGGAAAAGTTTATGCTTATCAAAAAACTTCGCTATTAACTATTTATGAACTGAACATTTCATGGCCAATAAGTAACACAAGATTTGGCATTGTCCTAACAGAAATCTCCGCGTCATTAAAACAACTATTTAAATTTATGCCAAATGGTTTCAACTTCAGAAACTAGCTAGCCCATAAAAATGCAGCGATGACAACTAGTATTAAATAAGTACCTCTTATGTGTGAGATGTTCTCTAAGACGGTCGATGATGTCTTGCACCTCACGAATGTGAGAAGACTCCTCCATTCCAAGCTTCAGTTGCAGGCCACATAGAAGGCTTGTCATATCAGGCCTTTGGGAAACTGAAACAAATGCCTTACGCTCAAATTGCCCACCAATCTTATTGTACACTTGCTTGGCAAGCGTAGTTTTACCAAGGCCGCCGAACCCTACAACGGACACTACCTTGAGTTTTTTCTCAGCATCAATCAACCAACTGATAAGCTCTTCTCTGGGGCCATCAATACCCACAAGGCCTGCAGCCTCCTTGTAGATTGCAGATATTCGGGGATCGACAGGCACAACACTGGAACTATAATCAACACAATCATCGATCTCGTACCTCATGCGTCGTTCATTTGCCTCTAGAGCAAGAGCCTTGAGCTCCTCCATCTGCCCAGCAATGCGATGACGCTCACGCAACGTCTTGAGCCGTTGAGCTGTTTTCTTGATGAGGCCGGCCTTAGCATCGGCACCCCCAAATTGGCGCATGAAGTCGTCAATACAATTCTCCATGTCGTAGGACATCTCTCTGACATGATCTCTCCAGTTCTTGGCCAGCGGATCGAGTACATCCATGAGCTCCAGCTTCTCGAGGGCAGCTCTCATGGCGCCGAGCTCACGCATGAGGAACGACGCCTGCTTCCTCACCCCCTTGAGCTTCCTGTACTCGTCCCCCATCAGCGTGGCGAGCTTGCTGAGGAGCGGGTTCATTACCCCCATCGTCGCGCTCACGGTTGGCGCTGACGTCATCTCGACCCGAGCCTCCTGTTCGTGTTGTCTGGCCCAGCAGCTACGCGTGCTGCGAGTGAGCGAAGTCCGTGTTGTCCGTGTTGTAGAGGACGGCGGTTTGCCGGAGCAGCCGGCGGCGAAGTCGAGCGACCAGTTGAGGCGGAGCTCAGGAGGTGGAGACTGGAGACGGTGGCTGGTCGTGGTGCCGGGAGGCCGGGCGCCGTGGTTGGGAACCGGGAGGTGGATGGCCGCACCGGATCGATCTGCGGCCGGAGGTGGGCTACGGGGATGTGCGGCGGCGGTTGCCGTCGGTGATGGCGGTGGGAGAGTAGTACTGGAGCAGCAGCGGGATGCGATTTGGGGGAGAAGGATAAAGTCAGAGACGCGTCTGGATATGCAGAGGGGGGAAAATGGCAGGTTGTGATTTGCGGGCTGAAAAAAAATTAAATGCTCTGTGATTAACATCATCCTAACTTCACAACCTTCACTTGTTTTTGTAGTTAGATTAGATTAGAAGGAGAAAATCTACTATTTAAATGATTTGTACAAAGTCGACGTGCTCCTGATGTCATGATTCAGAGCTCAGAATGGTGCATAGATCTTATCTAAGCTTTCCTCTTAGCAAAGCAGAGTCAAAACCAGCTATATTATCTCTCTTCAGAGTGTTGATATAGCCACATAAGCCCCCCTCTTGCAATTTGAATGATTTGAACAAAGTGATTGCCACTTGTTTGTCTCTCTTCAGAGTGTTCCTATTACAACATTTGGAATTGGTTACGAATTCAGAATTACACCGAAATAGCAAGTTAGCTATATTTTGCCGAAAAAGGCTTTCGCCCTGCTTTATATATAAGGTAAAACAATGACCAACAACACACCGGTACAAACGCACGCCCCCACAACACACGCACACACCCAATGCAAGATACAAAGGCGCTGAACGCAACGACACCACCCCAAGCACTACAAGAGAAGCAGGGGCCTCGACCGTGAACATGCCACCACAAAGAGATGAAGCCGCATACGACGAACTGTGGGCTCCAATGCGGTGTCTTCGGGAAGGAAATGACACCGGAGCGCCGCCACCGCCCGACCCGAGGGTCAGAGTTTCCCCTAAAGCAACACGACGGGCAATGATGGCCGCGACAACGCCTTCAAGAAGGGAACGAGTTTCACCGCCGCCGGTCTGTCCGAAGAAAGAACAGGTTTTCACCCCGGCCAAAATTCACTGCCTCCGGACGCCACACCCCGGCGACCATGCCACCCACACGACCATGGTCACCGGGCAGCACCAAGCCACGGGCTTTGCCCATGAGCACGGCGACACCACCATCAGGGCCGCCGCCCCGGCACCCAAGACCTCGACGCCACCTCACCCCGCCACCCAACGCTACCCCAACCAAAGAGATGAGTGGAAAGGCCCCGCCTTTAGCACTCCTGAGCTGCCCCAAGTGTCGAGACCCACTAGGCCGGCCAAAACAGGGCTCCATCGGCTCGTCCTGCTGCCGGGCGCGAGACGAGCTCGGTCCTGCTGCCGGGCGCGAGACGGTTCCGGTCCTGCTGCCGGGCGCGAGACGAGTCTGTCATGCTGCCGGGCGCGAGATGAGTCTGGTCCTACTGCCGGGCGCGAGACGAGGTCGGTCCTGCTGCGGGCGCGAGACGAGCGATGGACGGCAACCAGGAGAGGGCCAACCCTTTGATGAAGGTAGTGCCCGAACGACGAGGAGAGGAATCAAAGGTCAACGGGGGCGCTCATCGACGGGCCGACATCGAAGAAGTCCGGCCGCCGCCGTGAAACGACCCCGACCACCGCCGTGAGCCACCACCACGCCGTGACAGCCCACATCCACGCCGCCAATGGCAGATCCGAGCCAGCGCCACCACCCTCGCCGCCAATGGCTGCCGCACGCAAGGATGGCCGAGGCCAGCACCGCCACCAACGCCACCACCAGCACAAACCACCACCACCACCACCGCGTCGCCCACCACCACCTACCGCTGCAGGGCGGCCGCCCGCGGCCCAAGCCGCCCACGGCCCGCGCCGTCACAGAACCGAGCAAGCAAGCCCGCGGCCACCCACCCGCCTGGACGTGCATCATCCATCGCCGCCGCCACGCCTCGCCACCATGCCAGCAAGCTAGCCGACGTGGCCAGGCGAGCACCACCAGCCCTGCCGCCCTCAGCCCGCGCCGCGGGAACTAGCAGCCCGCGCAGATCTGGATCCCGCCGCCGCCACCGCTTCCGCGCGCCCTGCCACCTGCAACGCCGTCCAAAGCCCAACATATGCACCGGCGACCACCAAGGAGCCCGCACACCGCCGCACCGCGACGCCCGGCGCCCGCGTTGCGCCCAGGACGGAGGGGCCGCACCGCGCCAACCCCAGCCGCCAAGGGGACGAACTGCCCCGCCGCCGGCGGCTCCAGTCGGGCTTTGCCCGGCCGAGGCCCAGGGCGGCGGCGGAGGGGGCGGGGGAGAGAGGAGGGGGGCGGCGGCGGCGGATTTAGGGTTCCCCCCGATTGCCGCGCGGGGGCGACGCGGGAGGGGGAGGAGGGGGTCAGCGCAGTCCTCGTTAGCCATATTTCACATGTTATTTTGAATATTCTGTAACTTGATTGTTACATATAGCTTATGAGCTACCGTGCTTCACATAGATATAATGCAGAGGATTAACCAATCAAGGAGGATGCAGATGATTCATCAATTTTCTCTACCAGCCGCATTCATCAGCTTTGTTTAGTTGGAAATATAAACACATCTCTTTGTTTAGTTGCAAACATTAACAACTCTATCAATATCCAGCGCTTGCATATACTCTAGTTTTATTTTTCAAAGGAACAGTTAAAGTGGACAACCAAGTGGCCATCTGCATATACAACAAGATGTAGAGATTACATGTCTATTCAGATCATGCAGGAACAATATTTAGGCGGTCAAGATCTGCATATACGACCAAATATCTCAAAACACTGCGTGGTAAATTAAGTACAATGTATGCTGAGTAACTATTAACTAACTCACA